CAATAACTTATTACCACATTAGAAATATACTCTGGGTAACATTGATGGGCCAAATTCACCTCCTTTACCTTCCATAGTGTTGCACCTGCATACAGCAATAACGAATTTGACGCTTGGTCCTTCTTGATGACAATACTACATCAAAGCAGTATCAGAGAATACCCACTGAATGTCAGATATTACACCATTATGAACTAGAATATCTGCTTGCTTTTCATATTACAGTAAGTAGAGTTTATTGCTTCTAATGACCAGAAGGTACCTTATGAAGACAGCATAGATGTTGATAACACTTTTCATATACTGTGTTATAGATCTTGGAACACTGAGGTTGGCAGATCACAATCATGAAATTATATTTCTTCTTTATTTGCCATTTGCATTTTGATTTTGCTTTGCTGAACGCACATGCAACTAGTGGATCTAACTCTGTGCCAGTAGTGATATGTCAAAAACATTTAGGAAAACTTACTGGTTTACTGTTTTGTTTTGTTTTACTGAAGTCAGGCATGAGTGGCATGCAGTAGATTGCAAGGAAAAGCAAAAGGACATCCATTTCCAAAGGATTTATAATCTCCATGCACATGTAAAATGTCTCTTACAAAAAATTGTTAACATTTGTTAAAAGTGTGCCTTTTTGCTTCTTTTTATACAAGTGTACATGCAATTACCTGTCCGAGCTAAAACTATTTACAAAATCTCATAATACAATACATCCTTTAAAGTGAATAATACATGAAAGGCCAATGTTTTCTGTTGTTTTGTAACACTGTACAAGATTAAAAATAAATAAGGCATTATAATACAGGTTTATCACAAATTAAAAAATGTCGATTTTCACTGTAATACAAAACTCTAACTTGAAAGAACATTATGGCTAAATAGTCTTCCTGCCTGGGCAGAACACGTACAGAATCTGGACTTGCTGATGTAAAGAAAATGCTTTGTTTCTGCTACAAGCAGGAATTCAACATATGAAAATGAGTCACGCTACTTACTAATGTGTTCAGATTCCTCAAAGCACTGAAATGGCACAGGTCATACACTGTTTCCCTTCTAACAGTGACTCCCAAGTACTTCTTTTTGCCTTACAGATAAATTACAGGCAAAAACGTGAAAGAGATTTGAGTGCACAACCTACTCTCGGTTACAGCGTTGTGCAATACTCAGTTCAGTACTGACACAGGACACCACTGTAACCCAAAGCAGAACTTGGCCTACAGAAGCTCAGTTCCTGACCTTCATAAGCATGCTAAACACCTGGTGATTTCTGCAGGCCTTGTGGGTACATAAGGGATGCAGATTCAGCCTTAACAAGCTGAAGCTTTTGGCTCTCAGTCTCGCCTACAGAAAGCAAGGGAGAACTTGCGCATGTTCTAGTGAAGATAAGGGAGTGTGACTTGCCATGGTGGGAAGCAGCTACAAAACCCCCGCATTTTACAGGCTGGATAAAATAGCTTTCTAGTCAATGCAAATGGGAAATGTCTGGAAATACCTAGCCAGTAATTCAACTAAATGCCAGTTTGTAATCTCAGCAGAGAATAATAATTAAAAAATCATTTAAAGATAAATGTAGCATAGGAACACTTTGAAATTAGCTCCCAAGACAGTGAAGCCTGAAGATCTCTGATACTTATCTTCTTATATAAAGAACAAAAGACTTCAATTATTACTATTATCTGAAAGAGAAAACGTGCAAACAGATGTGAAATATTGTGCTTGCTATTGACAGACACTGACATGCCAAAAAGGCATCACTTCATTGTAGGGCTCATATCTGTTAATCATTCCAAGCTAACAACTGCACAGAACAGTGAACAGAAGTGCAGGAGGCTATTCTGCCACAGTGCAACACATTAGTATCCCAAATTAAACATGAGGGACTTCTGAGTACAGTAGGGCAGAACTGACTCCTTGCTGGGTCTACAGCAAGGTCACCCAAGCAAAAGTTACAGAGCTTGACCAGAAAGTTAGGAAATACAACTGCATGCATCAAGGTGGACACAACCCAAATCCCAATGAAATTCAAGGAAATCCTTCTGATATTGATATTTTCAGGGATATTGGAGTGGGCCACAAATTATCTTCAGCCAATTGCCAGTAAAAATTTGATGACAAGCTTCTCCAATTTGGCAGAAAATGTGCATTTGTGGTGCTATTAGAAGTATTACTATTACTTTTTTCCATGTATAAAACTTACTGGGCATATCAAAGAATGCAGAAAGAGTGAAGAGATTAAATCTATCATTTAAAGCTATCACACGAGAGCTAAAATAAAATAAATGTACACAGAGAGGGAAAAATGGGAAAAAATAATATAAATAGGGAGGGAAAGCATAAAGGGAAGAGCACAGCATCATTATGTCATGATTTCAATGGGAATTATGTTCTCCCTGTTGGAATGACTACTGAACACTGCTTATCAGTTTCACATGGCTTTTTACTAATGTGTGCCTTGACTGAACTTTCTTCATGATTCTGCACTGCTTAGTCCAGGACTACATGGTAAAATACTGTTTGGTCCTTCCCATTCAACATGGAAAACATCCTTACAAGTGTCACATGCCTCACCTGACTGTTGGAGAGGAGGATAAGGCTTAGAAAAACTCCGGAGTAATTCTGCTAGTACCTGTTCATTTCTTAAAATATTAAAATGAATAATCCAAATTTACCTTGCTACATGATCTTCCACTGATGTTACTCCAGGACTATGCTGGGAATGAGTCTGGGAATGAGAACAGTCCCCAAAATATTAGCACAGGGGACAATTAATTTCTGCTCACTGTCCATTTAGTGATAAAAGAAACAATGGCAATATGCCCATATCTTAGACCTATCGAAGAAGTAACAAAGCAATAACTGCATTGTAAGCTTTTGGGGTGGGTCAATGGCTGTAGTTGGTCTATGTGTTCATGTACTACCAGATCTACTGCTAGGATCTGAAGATGCTTTTAATAGCAGGACATGTAAGAACAATATTTTATTATTATCAGTGAAATCATACCAATTTCATGGATTCAGAAGTTGTATAACTTGGGCTCTCTGTGAATGGAACCGAGTGATTATTGCTCTTGCACATCATGCTTCCCATTTTGGTTAAATATTTAACTTACCAGTGTGATGATTTAGTCGTTACAAACCTATTAGAAAACAGTAATATGAGGTGTGCTTTACATGGATACCTTTTATTCAGTTTAATGATGTAAATATTTGTTCTTTTAGATGTCTATATTCTACCTGTGTTTATTTAAATGGCTTTAAATACCTCAAAAGCAGAATTAAATTATTCTAGAAGAACACCTGTGAACTGTTAGGGAGGTAAAGAAACGCAGTGACTTTGACAGATGAGCCAGGGTGCATACACCTAGTACAGTTAGGAAGTGATTCTCAGGCTTTATAGTCACTTTAATCACAACGCTGGTTTTGCCAGCTTTGTAATGTAGCACCTAGCTGACAGGGTACATGAAAATTAACTAAATACCCTGCTGAAAACCACTGGAGTCCCACAGCAGCCTGATAGGAAACTCCTGCAGCACTTCTTTAACAATTTCCATCTGTTGACACAGTATTCGTCCATATATTTTTAACACAAACAGTGACTGCTCCAAAGCAAATGCTGGTTGCAGGAGTATTGCTCAGAATCTTCTTTCCACTTAAATCACTACTGAAATAGGCTCACCAAAGGGAAATGTGACATCCACTACAGGCAAGCTTTCTACTGTACAGTCTGGGCAATTTCTGCAGTTTTTGGGTTTGGTGCTGTTTGGTTTTTTTTGGGGGGGAGAGGGGGTATGTGTGCTGGTTTTGTTTTGTGGGGCTTTTTTTAGTTAAAAGGAAGTTTTGCATGTTTTTAGACAACATAAACTTTTGCTTCTCTTTCGGAAAGCAGTGCAGTGAGGCCGATTAGCATGCACATCCCCATCAGGGGTTGCTATTGACAGTGTCCATGCAGGACACGTCACTTAGCAGGATGACCTCCAGCTGCTTATGGAGCTGCACTCCACATTTCCCATCCAGATCAGTGTTTCAAGATGAAACCATGAACAATAGGATGTGGGCTACATTAAAGGAAAAAGTGGCCAAAATATGTTCCCTTTTATGCAGATTAAGAGCAGGCCTCACTCTTCTGGCACATTTACCAGTGTGCTCCTGATTTGGGCAAAGTTTGACTGTGCTTGTTTCTCAGAATTATAGCTTTCTATAATTGTACAGCTTTGAAGAGTGAGCCTGGGTAGAATCAAGATATAATAAAACTGTGGCATAAATTTAAAAATCAATTAAGACCTAAGCCTGTGTTGGCAAATACAAAAATGTCACAAAGCTAGCAACTGCATGTTTGTCACCAGTACAGGACTATTCTTTGACCTGTTTGGAAAGGTAAAGCTAAATCCTGGAACTGAGCCACAGGACTTGTGCTGTTTGTAAAAGCCTGAAATAAAACCATTCTTCTGCTCTTCAATAAAATCAATTAATTTTGTTTTTCAATGAAAAGAATAGATATTGTTCTTCTGCCAAACCTTTAAGCTCTTCATATCCTAGTATTATGCTTTGAATTGGAATTTTTGGGAAGTTTTTGGTGCATGCAAGGAGAATTTTTCAAAATACACAGGGTTTAGAAATTAGTTGCATACAGCCTTCATTAACTGAAAACACAGTGAACACTGTTCTCATTGCTTTATCTCATGCACTGGGAACACAGCTTCTCTAACTCTTGCTGTAGACCTGCTGCCCCACACTCCACTGTTAAATGCAGCTTTGCTAATCCCAAACCCAACAGTACTGGCTATGACAGAAAGACAAATCTCTTTGCTGTGTCATTGCAGGTGGATGTGTAAATAAATACATGTTTTTATGTTTATCTCTAAATCTCTATAAAGTCTACACAGGACTGTTTGCATATGTGCATATATAGATTAAAACATATATATACACACACACATAAATAATTGCTTGCACGTTTATCTCTTTTTTTTTTTTTTTAAATTCACCCTTTAAAAACACCAAGAAAATATTCCTCATTTCCAGAAAATCAGGTTTTGACTTTTCCTAACAGAATTGCTAGCCCTTATATGTTCCATCCCAAGAGTTCATTACACAGTCCCCAAGTTCTCTTTGGTTGGGTTGTAGTGGTCCTTGGTTAATGCCATGGCCTACGACCTCTGATCTCTTGGCAAAAATTCAGGCAACCATTGCTCTCCAAGTTCACTGCAAATGGCACAACCAAATCTCCTTTGCTTTATGCCTCCTTTACAGCTGGCACAGAAGGAAGATAATGCAGTGTTTGATTTGTGTGAGTGGCAGATGTCTGCCCTGCTCCAGCTTTTACAGGAAAGCTAGCAGCTGAGGACACCGATGGGCAGCTGGTGCCCAGTTTGGTTTGAATGTTTGCTCTCCCATAAGGGTACATTTTCCTCTCTAAGTTTAAAGACCGTGTTTGTGCATTATTTCCATCGGCCTTTCCTTCCAGGAAATAGGTCAACATTTCACCTTTTCCCTTTACACTGACTTTACCCCTGCACACAAATTCATAACTGCACCTTTTTAAGATCCGCTGAACTTCTTCTGTCACCTGCAGACAGATAAAAAAGGACTATTAGTTTTTCCTTTTCATGTAAGGTTCATTCTAGAACTGTCCACCCTTACCCATTTTATTTCTCTGTCATGGAATATGCATAAATGGAATGATTTAACACCTACTGCTGCTCTCAGGCTACTTAAGAGTTTTCTTAACGAATTAAAAATCACTGGCCAAACTGGAACCTGTGAAGCAGAACTTCTGGTCTTGAGCTGAGTAACTACACAGACAGATTGAGGTCCGTCCAACAGAAATGTGTAACCAAATTGTCCACTATTGTAAACTGGATCAGTTCCAGTGACGTTAATTTACTCCAGAAGAACTTTTGATCCCTGGAGACTAGACAGGTATTTTGGATAAAGGACTGCAAGAGTTTGTTGAGTTTTTGATAGGTGCAGGCATAGCTTCTAGCCAAGCTCTTGCAGAACAACAATGTTCTGCGTCTGTGTAGCCTCTCTGATCCAAAATATCCAAGGAATTTTTAAAGCTACGTAAAATGCAGCAGGATGCAAATGGACATAGATCCTTTCCTTGTAGTCCTTATTCAGGCAAAATTCCTACAGCACAAGGACTGGCCCATGCAGCGTCGGCATTCCCAGGCTTTCCTCCAACTGTGTGCACTGCAGCAGAGAACTCTGTTGCTTCTGATGGGAAATGATTTGTTTGAGAATTTTATTGCCTCCAAGTAGTGAAGCGTATATAATGGAAAACAACCTCACCTCTGATGCTTGAACCATGTGGAGAATGTTGCCCTTTTCAAAAGAACTATGAGATCAAGTGAGGCTACAGTTTCTAAGTGGTCTTGAAAATGTAACCACAGATAAAACAGTTTTATCTGTGTATGTATGTATGTAAAGTTTGCAAAACTGCTTCGGAATACACTCACCTGAATTTTCCCCTGCACTCCAGTACTGTCCATCCGGCTGGCAACATTTACAGTGTTCCCCCAGATATCATACTGTGGTCTTCTGGCTCCAATGACTCCAGCCACTACTGGCCCAACATTAATACCTAAAATCAAAATGATGAGTTTGGGTTTCAAACACTACAGCATGTTATCCAAGGGAAATATGAACCCTGCAAAACAGATTTAACACAACTACCTTAGCATTTTTCTGCTGAGAGGACATAATTTACGTTAAATTAATGCCAACTGGACTTTTGTACTTGTAAGAGGCTTAGAAACAAAATAAAGACATACACAGAGGTAACTTACTGGAAATGTAGTATGACAGACAACATACAAACATGGCTCATTCTTTCTGTATTAATTTTAAGAAAAGAAGAAAAGCAGTGGTAGAGCAGAGTTTAGCTGTACAACAATTCAGGACAAACTGTTACAGATCTTTAATTACTCGCTACAACCTCCACTGTAGGTGCTCATAGAAAGCCTTTGAACGAAGGTTTTCCATGTAGAACAGAAATAGTGGCCTGGAAGACCTGAGAAATGGGGTAACAGAAGCGTGTCATGTTGGCTGTCAATACTAGAAAACAGATCAGGGAGTCAATGGAAGAAGACAACAATATGTGAAAATGGCTCAAGCACCTTTTTTTTGAAACCATAAGGCTCAATTCTATATTTCTGACTGATTGTTACACCTTGTTTGGAAGATAAGAGAGGATGTTACTCCTGAGTGCCCTGAAGAATTGTAGATGTTAAGCCCTGTATGAGGTTCTGTGTAAGGCAAATTACACAGAAGGATTGGGGTTAGGTATTTGTTTTCTACCCCTTTGTGAACCTGAAAAAAACACAACAGAGTTCTAGAAGATTCTGGGGTTTGTAACTATTAGGATGTACAAGAGGGCAAACATATACAACTCTCCCATTGCTACACTTGATGTCTTTGGTGTTTCTCAACCTTCCACTGCTAGCAACCTCACTTTTCACCTTGTCCATCCCATTCTCACAATTCGGCCATGAAAATAAATGGAAGAAGCTGGAGAAAACTATCAGTATTAGAATATGCAATTCAATGAGGACAGCAGTGGAAGTACCACTGGAGAGGAGTAGGATGCAGGGAAGGAAAGGAAGAGAGAAACTTGTTCTCTAAGAGGGCTGGGAGAAAGGACTCTGAGAGATAAGACATGTAATAACATGTAAAGGACTGTATGGGAAGATTTGTGTTGTGAAGACCAGAGAATTGATTTGCTGGAGAACACAGGACTGGTTGAGGTGATTTGGCATCTGTGGATGAAAAGCTTCCATCACACTTAATGCCAACAAAGCTTTTACAGATCAAACTTAACTATTAAGTACAGCAAGAACCAGTTTTCAGCAGTTTAGCAATCAGAGAGTCATAGAATTGTTTGGGTTGGAAGGGACCTTAAAGCTCATCCAGTTCCAACCCCCTGCCATGGGCAGGGTCACCTTCCACTACGGCAGGGGGTGTCCCCTCCAAGCCCCTGTGCCCACCCTGGCCTTGAACACTGCCAGGGAGGGGGCAGCCACAGCTTCTCTGGGCACCCTGTGCCAGCGCCTCAGCACCCTCACAGGGAAGGATTTCTTTCTAATGTCTAATCTCAATGTCCCCTCTGGCAGGTTAAAGCCATTCCCCCTTGTCCTGTCACTACATGTCCTTGTCAAAAGCCCCTCTCCAGGTTTCTTGTAGGTCCTTTAGGCACCGGAGCTGCTCTAAGGTCTCTGAAGAACCTGTCTCCAGAGCAGAGGTGCTCCAGCCCCTGCTCATCTTCATGGCCTCCTCTGGGCTCACTCCAACAGGACCAGCAGACAGCACACCTCTCTAGAAAGCACATCAGGCCGGCAAAACGGGCACCACTGTGTATCTCAAGCTAGTCACCTACTACTATCACTCACTGGTCTGGCTCTGGAGGGTCTGGGCCCCTCCTGCAGCCCGAGGTCTGCACTGCAGCCTCTCCCTGTAGGAGGTCCATCTGAGTGAAAGCATCAGCCTTCACCAGGGTAGATGGTGCAGACCCCCCACCGGAGCTGTGGTCTTTGCCTTCTGATGAGTCCTCACCACTGTGCCTTGTAGGATGTGTGCCACAGACGGCGTCTGGAATGTCTCTCCTTCAAAGAGACCCCCTCCCTGCGGCCCTCCTGCACAAACTGCCGTGCAAACTGACTGGAATTAGACATAACTACAATTCCTTCATACTGATGCTCACCATTCAGCCTTCTGACCTACATGGATGTGACTCTCCTGCATCCAGTTTTAATCATGAGTGTAGGACAGGTAGACAGTACAGGGAAAGCCAAAAAACAACATCCTGCTTGTGTGATAATTGTAGAGATGTGACTTACCAACTCGTAGGACAAAGTCGTTGTAAGACTGATAGTTGATTTCATCAAGAACGTCAAACATCTCTATTGCGAAATCTGCCAGTGTACTCAGATGGGAATAGATTGATTTTTTAGCCTAGAAACAAAATAGTATTGCACATTAGATCTGTCTGGTACTGAGAGGCAGGTGAAATATCACAGTGAAAAACAATGAAAAGCTCAGACTGGATGGCTTAGGAAAAGAATTTAAGCCATTTTGCTGTTTGTGAAAAGAACCATTTGATGGTGGCTACAGCACGTGCATTCCTTTCTCAAGTACTGAATTCGTTATTTTTTTTCCTCCTCTTTTTTGATTTCTGGGAAGAATGGAAAGCAAAGTTCCCGTGGTAAAGTGGTTCTGTTGCTAGAGAGCTGCAGATGTTTGTTGTGAGCGTGGCAGAGAATATAACCTGCTTTCTTACTAAACTGCTTTGCCTGATGATTATTAATAACTATAGTTTCTGCCCTCTTCTCCCTTTGGGGCTTTTGCTAGGGTGCATGCTGTTCCCATTGACAAAATTCCTGTTAGGTTTAATCCTGGGAGATGCAGAACACCTCTATTTTTTTTTCCTTTCCAGGCAAGCTGAAGTGAGTTGTTATAAAACATATCTAATTGAACTAAAGCAGAAGAAACACAAAGGATCAAATGAAATGCTGACATACCAACTTGTAAATAAAACCCAAACCAGAAGAAAGTAATTTCTACAACTTCGGTCAAATTAAACAGTGGAACTCATTTTCAGAGGATACAGTGGATCTCAAACGTTAGCCAGATTCAAACATTACTATTCATGGAAGAAATACTGCTACAAAGTAATAAAAAGCTACTATCTGTAGCTCTAGAATGTCTTAAGCAGTGTGTCATTAGAAAGCAGGAAAGAGAGGTTTGCATTTTGTCCTCTAACTCCTGCCCTTCCCCTAGGATCTACCACTGGCTAGTTAAAGACAGGTTTCTAGAATAGGCCTTCGACCTCACTCGTTGTGCATTATGTTGCTTTTATGTTGTGCTCTTATTTAAATAATAAATATGAATTCATGAACAGATTTGCAAAGTGAAAGTGGGCTAAAGGTAGGATATGGTGAAAGAAATGCAGGGTCAGTGGCAGTCTAGCTTCAGTAGGGTGTTGCACAACAGGGCTGTGGCAGCTGGCATGAGATGAGAGCTCACTGGGTTTTTGTCATGATAGTGGGATTTTATAAATGAACTACTTGACAGTGGCTGCGAAACCTGAGGAACAGGTTGCTGTTTGCTTTCTTTGGCTTGGTTTGAAAGGGCTCCTTCGTGTGATTGGGAATTTTACAAAAATTAGAGCAAAGTGCTAACAAAAAATTATGAAGGTCATCCTTGGGCCAGGCCCAATTTTTAGGAAAGATGCTTTTATTTACCTGCCCGTGTCTCTGGAGTTCTGCTTCTTGCAATGTCAACTATCTCTGCTCTTTTCCAGCCTCACCAAGACAAAGGAAGAACAAGAATTAAGCTGAACTAGCTTTTGGCTACACTTCCAAGAGAGAAGAGGAATACTGAATGTCTGAGGAGGGAGGAATATATAGTTTTATTTAATCCTCTAATCTTCTTTATATTCCTTTTCCTTTCATTTCTTTGCTGCCTGATCACTGCTTTGATTGCCTGCAACACCCCTCAAGGTTGCAGGAGAGAGGACTGTTGACAAATACTGGATGTGCTGCAGGTGACAAATTCCTCTCAAAAGGATTACTGGCAAACCCTTTTGAACCTGCACTGAAGAACATCACAAAGTTAGGACCCTGGTGAAATCACAGATGTAATTTCAAAGGATTCCGCACATACAGAGAACTTATATTGAGCAAAAGATCTACAAAGACCTTGGTCTGCGTGCTGCCCTGATGGGGTAACTGACAAGCAATTATTTATTTAAACATCAGAGGAATAGTTACTGGAAAGACTGCCCAGAGCATCACAGCAAAGCCACTCTGACAGGGGCAATGTGCATTTACCATAGTCACCTGCTGAAATCAAGCTGCAGGAGCAACAGTCCTGTAAAATATGGGATTTAAATTATTAACTTCATCAGGGTATTGGATTCTTACATGTGTAATATCCTCACTTAAGAACACAGTTAACCCCAACCAGTGCTTTCTGCTCCTGTTGAAATCCTAGTGTGAAATTGGTGGCTCACAATCAGAGGCTGTGCCAAATTTTCTGATGAAGCTGGGATACCTCTGGCAGAGGGGAGACCAGAAGTCTTGAGTTTCTTGTGGTTCCCCATAGACACCTATGACTCTGTAGGGCAGCCCAGGCCCTGTGTGATGCTGGCAGTGATTGCACATGACAGGCTACCCAGGATCATCAGACTCCTCATATATAGCTGTATGCTGAAGAAATGCCAAGAGGATGTGAATAATTTCTACTTGTTTGTATCACATGAGCAGTGGAAAGAGATTACAGAAGAACTGAAACCCCAAGTTAAAGTAAAAAATATTGTCTGTATCATACAAGATCTTCAGGTTTTCTGTAATACAGAATGTTAAATAAATTCCACCTGTAAAGAAAAGATCAAAATTTGCCCCAAAATTTCAGAGAAAGGCAGGGTCATGTAAAAAAGACTTTCTGCAGTGATTCATCATAAGCTTAGACTGGTGTCTTTAGAACTAGGCTAACTCAGCTGACCCTTCAGTTAGCAACTATAAAATACAAGAGATAAACATGTTTAGGTTTTGGAACATATGCTGCCAAAGTTACCCAATAACACACTTGTTTTCAGGATTATAGTTCAAAGAGCATTTATAACAGACACACAAGTATGCCATTGCCTGTTTGGCTGAGATCACAGAGGCAAAATTCAAAGGATCAATTTCTTTGCCTGTCTCAGGATGCAGTAGTCAAACATTTCAGCATAAACAGCTTTAAGAATACCTTTTTGCAATATGTAGATTTCTAGGAATGACACAAAGGAAAGCAGCAGTTGTAAATACCCTGCAGACCAGAAAATTAGTTGCATATGATATACTCTAACAAGATTCCAACAGTTGATTTCAATGTGGTCTTGTTTTTTATTTACTTAGCAAGGATAATTGTTGCTAGGAAGTTCACAAGCCATATTCTGACTCTTTGTGCTTTTACCCTCTTATTCAGTGTTACTTTGCAATGCTAAACCATATACATGAGTATATCTCTACAACATCTGTACATTCATGTCAGAATAGGGGAGATTTTTGGGCAGACTAGGTGCATAGATTGTCTTAATTTTAATTATATTCCTCATACTATTAATTTAAGTATTTTTTATAAATTAATTTTATTAATAAAATAATTAATGTGCATAGTACTCTGTATACAACATATTCAGTAGGTTGCCCACAGGATTTTCTGCTTTTCCAGATGCTGCACGCAAATCTCTGTCCCAAGACGCAAATGTAAGGTGAGAAACACACTCAGGAGTAGTAATGAGGATACAGAAGAGCTGTGCCCCAGAACTAGTGGGTCTGAAAAGACTGACATTTTTTAATTGCTGAGTAACTAAAGGGGTTTTTATCTCAAAGGCTGACAGAATGCTAACAGTTGAGACAAAGAAGAGCTGATTTGGAGGGATGGGGGTAAAATGCAGCAATATACCTAGCACTAAGTTACTGTCTAAACAACTGCTAGGAAAGCAATTTTTCTTTTCAGGCTAAAAGCTGTTCTTTGAATTTCAGATTTAAATTGCTGTAAAGAAGTAATACAAGTTATCTATAATTGCACAGAGTTAGTTGTGTTTCTGATGTTCCTCTGGAAATTGAAGAAGAATAGCTGTTATGTAAAATCTTCTTACCTTAGTTCCCGAAGTAGGCACAAGTCCCACAGCTGCCATATATGTACTTCCAATTGTCTTGATCTTTTCTATGTCCTTATAATATTCTTTTTCCATAAGCTTTGTTTAAAACATAAAACTGTTAAATATTACATAATATTTTAGACAAGCAACCACAGTTATCAGATAATATGTGCAACTTGATTAAACCATATTACTTTGGTAAGTTGACTTTGAGGTCATTGAATAAAACCTACCATTAACTCATGTGTTAATACTCTTGCTGTATTAGAAAGATTTGAATTCAGACTCATGTGCCTTAAAGGACAAACTGGGCACTTTGGAGAAGCCCATTAGACACCAACTCCAATTGAATGGGAAGTTTACTCTTTTATTAGGCAGTTCAAGATACACAGAGTTGCTGTAGATAATCTCTGTTGATATTCATTTGGTAGAACTGACACGGTCAAAAGACAAAGTGTTTAGACCTTACCTCATCAAAATCAGCAATAATTTCATTTAACAGGCGTAAACATTCCACTCCCATATTATTGCCATCCAGTTCAATGTAGAAATCATTGAAATTTGGGATGGAAGCAAACATCACTCCCACTTGTGAATAGGACTGGTAATAAAGGTCCTGCGGTTTGGGAGCAGATAGAAATTTCATTTTAAAATATTAATTTAAAGCAGGCATCATTATTATGTTTTCTATTTTACTGCTAAGCAATAAGTAGGACAAAAGCCATCATTTTTGGTGGAGAGAAAGCCAGTCGTACGAAAAAAAACATTGAAAGATCTCTCCACTCAAAAAACACAGAAGAAAATGAACACCTGAGCTATCAAACTGGTTTAAAACAACTCAGTCTGTTTCTCTGTTTAGACGTGGAAGCAGTGAGTACACATTCGGAGAAAGTGCTAAGAGCTGTAGAACTTTTATTGTATGAGAAACATAATTGCATTTTCTCAGTATTGTTTTCTAACTAAAATAGGACAATTTTACCCTGCAGCACAAAACCAGCCTTGCTCTTTCATGTCTTTCCCTGAGTTGTGGTGTCCTGTACCCAACATTAACAATGTAATGCTGTTCTGTTTGGTAACATTTCTGCTTAAGAATTTGGAGGGGTCACGGAAAGCAAAACCACTCTTCTGTGGTTCAAATACACTGATCCAAACTCTCAAGAGCAGGATCATGGCCATTATAGCTACTCCAGTGCTGCAGGTATTGCAGCTGTGAAGGAAGGACTCTGTTAAGGGCTTCCTGAATCAATTTATTTAATCACTGCATCTTCCGTGGCTGTGTATTCTCTGTTTTTAGCTTTGAATGGATGGGTTTGGTAATAGCAGCACATTTCCAAAACTAGAGTGGTTCACAGGGAAGTGTCTGGCAATTCATACACTTCACCATTTAGAACCAAACTGAAATACTGTGATAAATGCCAACATTCTATACCGATTGAAAAATAAATAACTAAAACCCAGCTATTTGCATGCAGACACTTGGTTGCATTGATGTTGAATGACACAACATTCCCTTATCCTGATTTTTATTAAAATTCCTCAGAGAAGGACAACTATAGAGAAGGAAATAATCCCAGTCTAATTCTTGAACGTGAATGAAATTCTGTAAATGCAAGCCTTTCTTGAAAACATACACATGAAAGATGACCCAAGCTGCACAGGGTCACACCCATACACCATCACCATGTATTTGAATTTTATCTTGGTTTACCATATTTCGTGGATTAGACATTAGAAAGTGCTGTGCAACATGTGCTGGCAACAGGTTGAAGAGAATTCTTTTATTATCCAGCTTGACTCTTTCCATATCATCTCTCTCTTCTTCTGCCTGTGGGGACAGAGGAAAAGAAAAACCTTTTCAGATAGCAAAAAATTTGCTGAAGCCATCAAATAGCTTCTATTAATTCATCCTTTGAAATTAAACTGAACAAAACAATGCCTGTAATGTAGAGCAGGAACAGTTCTCCTATACCATGCTTTTACACTGAGGTAAAATCCCTTAGTCCTTAGTAGTTAGCAATCCAAGTCTTTAGTAATTTAAGACAGTCTCTGGGCTGATGACTACTTTCAGGTCTTGATCATCTAAGTGAACTGGTATCTTCTGTAGTTCTCTGTTCTTTTAAATAGGCCCTTGATATTTTTACAGAGTAAGAAGCTACAATAAGCCCCCTTTAGTCACATTAGTCTTGGAGGCCAGTTACTTCCCAGGTAGATAGAGACAGTGGTAACAGTATTCAGAGAGAGTGCCTATGAGTTAACACAGATGAGGCTCTTAACCCAAGATACTGGTATCTTGTTCCAAGTTTCTTGACTACCAGATGTTTAGTGGGAGTCATGCATTAAGAAATGATACTAAAAATGAGACCCCTTATTGGAAAAATACTATCTAGGGATCTCATTTGGGACTCCTGGGTTTGTAAGTTCCAGCCTAATCCACAGCAGATTCCTCTGCAAAACTACTTCTTTTTTTTCCTCCATGTCGTTACAGTGACTTTTGGCCCCACATTCTGATTTCAGTTACAAAGAAATATGATCAGTACCATATAATTCATCTTACTGAAATCACAAATCTTCTGCCATGATCCCAATATGATTTTTCTAATCTAGATATAGTTGACAAAAGACTGGAAAGCCAAATTCTCAGGCACTGTTGAGAAACTACGATCATATAAACCACTGAAGAATCTGTTCTAATCTTTGTTGGTGTCTTTTGTATCTAGAATTTGCTATCGTGATCTATTCCAAAGTCCACGCACTTTTCTCACTATCTATTCCTGTCTAAGTAGGAGAAAACCAGCCACCTCTTACCTTTGTATAGTCTAATGATATTCTTTCCATGTGATTTGTTTCCCCAGGAAGCTAATTTTTGTTTTCCATGACAAAGCTTAGGAAACAACCTTTTTATTCAGATCACACAGACTGCCTTGCCTTGCAGTTTACTTCTGTATTTTAGACTTCTTTACAAGTAGAAAGAATGCTGAAAGAGAACTGGTTTAATAAACCTAAGTCTTTAAGGAATCATTCCCTTTTGAAACAAATCCTCAGCTCCTCCTCTAATTTGTGTAGTAAGAATCAGAATTTATTCCAGAGGTGAAATATCAAATTATATTAAATATTAAATAGCAGTTAAGTTCTGCAGGAAATATACCTGAAACCTTTATTCTAAGCAAGTAGCTAATTTCCTGTTTCTGAGCTGTTTTCCTGACACTTTCTTTGCTGTTTAAATTTCATATGCATTCTCCTCATATGTTTTCTCAAAGTAACACTCCGCTGGTATAACTCTGTCTCTGACTTATTGTTGTCTATAAATGCATGTAATGTCCTCTTGCATTTAGTCTGACTGTTGGAATTTAAATGTTCTAATAGTAAAAATAAAAAGCTTTTTCCAGATGAAGCTTTCCAAACCAAGCTTACAATTCCATTTTTACATCATACTGGATGGAATATGGGAAATTTTACTCTGCAACAGCAAAGTGATATGCAAATAGAATTCATGCTCTGAATTAAAAAAAAAAAATCTGTTTTGGGCTTGATTATTCATTCCTCTATTTTTTGACTAAGAATTTTTCATTACTTTTTTCTAGAAATGTGTAAGGTTCTCAGTTATGCTCCCAATATAATGGCAGAACAGCAGCCTAAGGAACAGTGAATGTCTGGACCAGGGTGGAGATTTCTGGACAAGTCAAAGCAATCAAGCAGGGGCAGGTAAGTGGAGTAATCCATTTTACACATTGCATGGATAGTGATATTGCCTGATCACTGGCAGCTGTTGTTCATTTCTGATCTGGAAGTGTGTGATCAGATTCTTCTTGCCTTTGGTCATGGACCGAAGTGTTCATTTCGGAAGACAAGATTGAGAAGACTGTTCAGCAATAGGTAGTGTTTCCTACCATTGTGTGTGATTCACAGCAAACGTTTCAGAGCAAGCCATAGCACAAGGACAAAGCTGCCAGCACTGAAGCAGACTCTTGTGAACTTGGTCATGGTGCTGGACTTTTCTCCAACTTTTGACCCACAGAAATAAAAGAGAATTCTAATATACCCACATAAAATAAATGAGAAAAGACACTCTAGACTGTTGGTTTCTTTCTGACATAACTTTAAGGCATGTGATGGCTTTTCTCCTCCTTTCTGTCTCACTTCAATACCGTCATGAAACTGCTGGGAGACAAATGTCAGTGACACTACTGTGTGTGTGTGCAAGTGGAGTGTGATGTTCACAGTGATGGGACCACAGCTGTGAGCACTGAGCTCTTGAGTGAAGAGCTACTGCCTCAAACCAAACCACCAAAGTCATGACTGAAGGGGTGGCAAAATCCTCTAAGTGCGGGGAAAGACATCAAGGATATCACCATTGCTAAGAAACACAGAAGAATGCTACATTTCCAACACACCTAGCAAGCATCTCTTCCTCTCTTTGGATGCAAAACTCTTAACTCTGAGAAGGTTCAGCTAGCAGAAATGAGATGAACCACTAAGGTTATGGAAACTCCTTGAATAATGCCATGGTGGGTAATAGTAGCAAACCCTAAATAGAGACAAATTATGCAAACAGCAGAATGAGGGGAATGTAGATCAAGTGCTTTTCGTGCCCTGGCCTATTTCAGGCCAGGCATTTCCTAGTCAAGCAGGAAAGAGGAATGCATTCGCCCTGTGGTTCAGGAAGACATTGTACTGGTAATGCCTATGTGGGACAATGCAGTGCCAGCTCTGCCTGACCTAGCCCCAGACTTAGAAGCAAAACGTTAATGGATTTAGCACAGCACTCCTTCTGAGCTGCTTAGTCACGTTGAAAAGCAAGATGTATTAAGCTTAGACCACACACTGGGTTAATACCGTTGCTGGTACCCTAGCCAGAGCCTCTGCATGGACTGTACTTACACCTTCCAGACCATACCACATGTCTGATATCCTATCTTTATTGAAGTGATCTGCTAGGAATATGAACTGAAGTGTACCTTCTCTGCTACTACTGCATACAGCTTGAATATCTATTCTCTCACCCTGCCCTGCCTAAGACAGCTCTCATATATGCAACTCCTCAGGAACTGCCTGGGGAAAGAGGACAGATCTCCATGTATCTCTGGCAAGGAAAGATAAGGAGTGAAGGTGAGATATAAAAGATTTGGTCAAGTTCAGCATTGAGGACTCTAAAACATGGCTCTGTGGTGAGGGAAATAAACCAGTTACAATGTTTCCTGGTTTCAATGTTTCTCATGAAATCCTACTGCCTACTCTTTGAGCAGAGGATGTGTGTAGGTATCACCCTTTCCCAGGCAAAATAGACACTGAGAAGGGAGAAGATGGACCTGGGGCTGGAGAAGGAAGATTAAGATGGCACAAATCACAGGTATTTACATTTCTGGTGGAAATATTATCCAGACAGCTAAATGACATCTACACCTTCTGTCTATTTGCCCCTATTCCTATTAGTTAGTTATGAAAGTTTCCAGCATGTTATTTATACAATAGCTGCTGGCTCAAAACCCAAGGAAAATTATTGTGAAAACAAAGAAGAAAAAAGATACATGGGCATGAGCAACGTCTTTTTTTCACATCCTGCTTTCTGCTTATACCTGTTTGCTATTCATGACAGCTAGATCATTTTGTAGAACTTAACTGTATTTGCAAAGATGCAGTATTTAAAAGCAGGCTTTGTTCTTGCTTCAGACCTGCTGAAAAAATTTAAAATGCTCTTTGGTACTATGGCTTTTGACATCAATGTAATTAATGGCTATTTTATTTTACAGAGTTGTACAGCATCCCAGTTCTTACAATGCTCATGACTGGTTACACATCCTCTGTTCAGGAAGTGGTCTGAGCTGTTGTATCACCTGAGCTATCAGGTGAACATTTAATAAGCATAAACATGCTTTAGCAATGTCACTGACTGAAGAGTTATCACATGAAAATCCACTGCTTCAAGATACAGCTGAGCAGAAGCCGGGTACCAGTGCCACGGAAGCATCATCTTTGTACCTGAAGGTGGCACTAGAACCACAGGGAACAGAGCCATCCCAGTGCTGCAATATTTTTCTTATAGATTTTTAATATATTATTTACTATATTACCAGAGAAATTTAAGAGGAAGTGCAAGCCCACCTGGCAAGCCTTGCCTGCCGACTGTAAAATGCATATTTTTTACATGTGTCATGGATTAGGAATGCAACAATCAGCCATTCATTGTATTATTTTTGTTCTCTAACAAAATCCTGGGTGAATAAGCAGCTCCATTTTTGGGGCAGTTTTCACTTCTTCAGAAATTCATAATATGTATTTATGTGTCCATTCTTTTTTTCCAGCTTTGTGGAATAATTTGCAAAAGTGATTATTGGTCACAAGTAAGTAAAACGCTCCTATATTTGCTATTCACAGTTATTGTCATATAAGGAACATCGAGTTACTCTACAATGTTATGTACAAAATTAGAATCTCCTTTCACCGCCTGATAAAAGCCGAACACACCAAGAGAGATGTTCTGGAAATATGGTGATATTCAGAAAGGTTAAATTTGGCACAGCAAAAACCCCTAGCAAAATCAGCAAGAGCCTATAACACCAGTGATATAGCACAAACATAAATGTTTTAGCCACTTCTCACCAATAAGAAATATGTATTTTTTTCCACACAGTGTACATAATGACACTGCATTATATCTGCTCTGGTTCCGTAACCTAGATGCACAGAAATTAGATTAACTTGAAACTGTATCATTTTTCTAAACCAGTTTTTCTTCTTTGAAATCTGCTTTCCCTCATGGCACATTTTTTTTCCCCAATACAGCGGAAAAAATCCATAGAAATGGGTTTTTCTCAGACCCTAGCATAGACCACTGAGCATCTATCTATATATCCTTACTAGTAATGGTATTAATTGCAGGATACTTTCAGTGTTTAAAATACCATTTAGTTAGTACTAGACAGTTCGTTGTTTATGACAAAGTGAATGAAAATATCTATTAAATCCTTTTTATTGCAGCTTATGCCACAAATGGTTTTATTCATCTCAGAATGTTTTAACAGGATTAGCCCCAATAATGAGCATTACTAAAAGTATGCAGAGTAAGTGCTTACGTCTTCCAGAAGAGCCCCTGAGTCTGAAATTCTCTCAATTGTAAGCCAACAACTGAGAAGCTTCCTAAAAACATATGGTGTACCATGTTGGCATGTCTTCACACAGCAGTGTCTGGCTAGCGGGAGATGTGAGTCTCAGCTCAAGCAGTGGTTCATGCAATTCAGTGTTTGCGCAAAGAACCAGCACACTCACTGTAAACCAGAAGAAAATCTCCACAGTCCCTGTGCACTGAGTCAGTGGTCTTTCTAAAACTGCTGCTACAGAGAATGGAATCAAGTTAAGCCAACATGGTTCAATGATAAGTATGGCTGTACAGAAACAGGACCAAGAATGCTGTTTAACCATACACAGGGCTGCAGTCCAGCAGCTAGAGAAAACTGTCACTCAGGAAGGTGTTTTTTACCCTTGTCTCCACTTAAGGATTGTTAAACAATTAGTTGCTTGGAGTCTGATAACTATCCATAGGCAGTTTTAACATACAGATATTTCCAAGTCTTCCCAGAGCTTTTAATACTCACATTTTTACTATGCCAAAGAACCTAATAAGTGCAAAGATAATGTTTTGGGGTGTTTTTTTTTTCTTACCATTTGAGTAAGTAAGCACCAAAAGCACTTCTGTAACATTCATGACGACAGTACTTCTGGATGTTAAGTTATTTAGCCTTTGTATTCATTATCATTTACAACCAATACACACGACAAGATTCCTTACAACATGTTAACCACTATCATTTATTGTACAGGGCATAAACCTTCCATGTGGAATTGAGAAGAACTAGGATATATACCCAGATCACCAAAGAGGCCAAATATCTATGTAGCCTTCTGATTTCAAAGAATGGTAGTTATGCTGATACCTAATTTCTGAATTTTCTACCTAAACTGATTTTTTTTGCCTTTCTGATTATTATCACTCAAATCTCACAGATGAAATGGTACCCCATAAGTACCTGATTTGCAGCTGAAAAGATCTGAAAATGGCATTTGATCTTCTCAGATTAAAAGCATGTTTTGAAAAGGTACCTGAAGCTGCCACTGGACATTACTGAAATTTGATAGGCATCCATATGTCTTCACTCCCCTTATTGCCTTTGGAGTAAGTGCACAATGGTTTTAACAATAGTGGTAGACAAGTAGGTATTTCTGAAAAACCTGGCCCCAGGAAAGCAGAACAAGTTTGGATTTCTTCCGTAACTATTGTTCAGTTCTAGTCTTTCAACAGGCAAGCATCCCACCAGTTTCCTGTACTTAAATTTTTAAAACTAATCGATTGCTTACTAAAAGCCAACTTAACACTAAGAATCTTTAAGCAGTACATTCCTTAGGGACACACAATTCACCATGCAAGTCATAGTAGTTCATGTTATGAAAAGCAATTAAGATACTTTACTCACTCTTGACCTGTTGAAAGGCCACAGGATAGCAAACCAGTATCTTCCTCCTTACTACTCTATTTTGTGGACAGGAATAACATACAGAAGTTCTTGTATTCATGGATCATACAGCACTCATATACCACCTCTCTGTGCCAACCTACATAGAGATAGCCGCTATACAGTTAGTCATGTGCTGCACTGAGTTTCAAAGTCAAGGGATTTCTTTTTGCCACCTGAAAACTGTATTTGGCACGACAGCAAGTGGAAACTATCAGTTTGTCCAAAATAACCTTCTGAGGTTGCTGGGAACCTACCAATACTGCAGGTTATAGCACAAAAACTAAACGATCACACATTGTTGACTCAGTTGAACAGCAAAGAGTCCACAGAAATTATAGAACAAGAAAAACTTAAATCATGAAGGAGGTGGACATGGTCTTGGACATCAAGATAAACAAAATAATCCCATCAGAGCTTAACTGATAGTCAGAATATAATGCAGCTAAGTCATTCCTGATGGCTCCATTTTAGGTAACATAGTAGAGCCAGGGATGTATTTAACCCATACATTCCAGTCTTGATCTTACACGTAAAAGCAAGCACTGTGATGATTTATACGGTCCTCTTAACAACACAGTTAACAGGGTGTAGGTGAGAACAGGCTGTGATCTCTGTGAACTACAAGAGTGTAAGATTTATCATAAAAGCAACTTCCAAATTCCATGAAAACAAACTTTATCTTCAACTTTCTCCTTCCCTCAGGGGTTAGTGTGAAACACTACGGAGGTGGGAATAGGACTGCTGAAAGGCATGACAGGAGGTAGACATTTCTTGATGCCCCTGCTTATGGCTAATATAATTTCTATTGGTTTTGCTGTGATTATGATAGTTAGGAAATAGACTTCTAAAAAAAGTGCATGAACTTGGTATCTAAATAAGTTTCTGACCTGCCTTTGGGAAAGA